ATGGCATTGCCAGCCAGGAGTCCTTCTGGACCACTTAATGATGTTCTACCAATATGTCTAAAGTAGGTAAAACATTTTTTATGCATTCTTTTAACATTTTAATTTGCTCAATAAATCTACTTTTTCCATAAATGATGATGGTTATGTTCACTATGGTTCCAAAATGTGGAAGTACATCAAAATAAAAAAGGGTATATTCCAAGGACACAGAAGTTCAACATCATAAACTCTACTAATGCAATTTGCCACAAATTAAATAGGGGAAAACACAGCAACACCAATTATTTATTTTGCTCATGATCCTGTAATTTAGGCAGAATTTGGTTAAAAAAAAGAAAAAAAAAAAAGTCTATCTCTGCTCCACACAGGTTTGGTTGCAGTGGCTCGACAGGGAATGGCAATTCAACTTCCAAGATAAGCTCACTTACAAGCAAATTGATACTAGTTGTTATCTAGAAATCCAGCATCTTAACCCAGAAGTCTTGTTTTGTTTTAACAATAAATATATATATNATTTAAACTTAAAAATTTGTAGAAGTTAAACTACCATAGAATATACAGTAGTTAGCTATTTAGAGAAGTTTTACAAGCTTGGTTATAGATTGGAAATCAATAGCACCTCTGTTTACAGACTAGATTATTTTTGTGTCTGTCTTACCTACTCACTTTTCAGAGGCTAACATTTCCAGTAGGAAACAAACTTAAATTGTTCACCAGCTGGAAATATACATACATATATATATATATATATATATATATGTATGTATATTTCCAGCTGGTGAACAATTTAAGTTTGTTTCCTACTGGAAATGTTAGCCTCTGAAAAGTGAGTAGGTAAGACAGACACAAAAATAATCTAGTCTGTAAACAGAGGTGCTATTGATTTCCAATCTATAACCAAGCTTGTAAAACTTCTCTAAATAGCTAACTACTGTATATTCTATGGTAGTTTAACTTCTACAAATTTTTAAGTTTAAATTTATTGGATGACATAGCAGTGTGACCTAGCACCAGATTTCACTGGCTTGAAAAACAGACCTTGAGTAGTTTATTAAACTCTTCTGAGACTCAGTTTGTTCAACCCTAAGTTTATTGAGAAGATCAGATGAGTGAAAACATACAAAGTGCTTTGAATAGTGCCAAGTATCTACTAAGTACACAATACATTTTAAGAATGAGAATTGAAATGCAATTTAACATGTTGACGTTGAATTTTTTTAAATGTGCAAATCCTTAAGATAACTTTTGTACAGTACTTATAAAATTAAATCACCTCGCATACCATTGAAAAGAATGACCTTCAAAAAAGTTAACACTTGCCCTGCCTGGTGTGGTTTAGTTGGTTGGGGCATTGTCCCATGCACTGAAAGGTTGCCAGGTCTGTTCCTGGTCAGGGCACATGCCCAGGCTGTGGGCTCAATCCCTAGAAGGGGGTGTGCAGGAGGCAGCCAATTACTCTCACATTAGTGTTTCTCCATCTCCCTTCCTCTCTCTCTAAAAATCAATAAAAAATCTAAACAAATACATAAGTAAATAAATACATAAATAAAAGTTAACACTGTTTCTTTAACAGGAAAATTCAAAATATGTATAATAGCCTGGCCGGTGTTGCTCAGCAGTTGAGCATCAACCAGTGATCCAGAAGATCAATGACTCTCTCATCACAGGAGTTTCTATCTCTTTCTCCCTCTCTCTTCCTCTCTCCGAAATTAGTAAAGACATATTTAAAACAAAAAAAAAAAGTATAATAATTTCTAGTTTGTACTTACTTTAAATTTCATCAGTTCTGCCAAAACTTGGAAGAAAATGATACTTTAAATTTCCATCATAATTGTACTGTCATAAAATAAACTATGAAGGACTCATTGTGTATGTCAATTTAATAAAGCCAGTATATAATTAATAGCAAGCTAAGCTCCATGTGATAATTCTTTCATTTTCTGCTAACACATATTTTTTAAAAATTATCTCCTTTTTTTGGTAATTAAAGCCAATTAAAATTTTTTCTTTCTGCTATCAGAATAACTCCCTTTTATGTTTTATTGCTTTATTAGAGGCTGTCGTGCTTCCCTACTGATAAAAATATTTCACCGCTTGAAAACCAGCATCGCAGTGCTTACAGCATGAAGCACGCCTGACACCTGGTGGTCACAGGGGTTCATCACATACAACACTGCGCTTGGAATTACTTTGTGTTTTAAGGATCCTTTTTATAGAATTAAATTAAAATTAAATGAAAAACTCTTAAGTGCACATTTTCATATCTTATGAACTTCAAAAGTTGTTTTTAGGTAAAACATATAAAAGAGAGACCGAAACAAGATGGGGGCCTACGCAGCAGCCACACCCGCCGCCTCCGCACCCACATCAAAATCACAACTAACACACAGAACCACCCTCACTCAGAGCCTCCTGAGATCTGCTGCACAGAAGCCCCACAGCCAGGGAGCTGGAGAAACACCGAGACCGGGAGGAGGGGCGGAGATGCCGGCGGATGGGGCTGAATCCCAGAGATGCGGCCCGGCTCACACCCAGTGCCCGGTTTAAACCCGGGAGGGAATCTCGGCGGCGGCGGTTTCCCCGAGGAGTGAGGGTCCCAGCCCCACAGCAGGCCCCCAGCCCAGGGCTCCAGGGCTGGGAAGAGACCTCCCCACACCTTCGGGCTGTGAAACCAGCGGGACTGTCCCTGAGGGTCGCGGAGGCTGCGGGAGCCCCAGCAGCTCCTCTAAAGGGCCCGGCACGGACTCACTCGGACGCTCCCGCTGAGCCCAGCGCCGGGCAGCAGCCTGAAAGGACCCGGGA